AAGGTATTTTTGTCCCAAATTACCTTTCTTATATCATTTTTCGCTTTAAACGAATGGAGTATTAGTTTAACACACGTGCAATATAATCAGTAATGTTAATGAGCCAACTGTGAGTCAATAGCCAATGGAACATTAGTACTTTGTTATTGGAATTTATTCTACTATTAACCTTGGGAATCATGTGTTCCTCTATCGAAAAATAAAAAAACCTTTGGGAATCATGTGTAAATTAGGAATGATCAAATTTGATTTAAGTTTCCTAGTTCAAACAAATAACGGCTTATCTCACTCAAAAGTCAAAACCCTTATACATAACATCGTCATTGATCCCTAATCGAAAAAACCCCCAAACCAGCAATGGCGGGAAGAGTGATGATCATATCTGGCCGCGCGAAGAACAAAACCCCATCGGAAATCCAAATCACGGCGGAGCAGATCCTCCGCGAGGCTCGCGAGCACCAAGACCCCGGACTCCAGCCGCCCAAACGGAAAATCTCCGACGCGGCCGAGCTCGCAGAAGACCTCCTCCGCAGGCGCAAAGTGTTCGAAGATTCCATCCGAAGAGATCGCCGCAACAAAAGCGTATGGTCAAGATACGCCCGTTGGGAAGAGTCGCTGAACGATTTCGATCGGGCGAGGTCGGTCTGGGAGCGCGCGCTCGAGGTGGATCACAGGGATCACGCGCTGTGGCTCAGGTACGCCGATTTCGAGATTAGGAACAAGTTCGTCAACCGCGCGAGGAACGTGTGGGACCGCGCGATCGAGCTGTTGCCCAGGGTGGACCAGCTGTGGCTCAAGTACATCCACATGGAGGAGATGCTGGGGAAAGTGGCCATTGCCAGAGGGATCTTCGAGCAGTGGATGAGGTGGGCCCCCGATCAGCAGGCGTGGATTTCGTATGCAAAATTTGAGTTGAGGTATGGAGAAATCGAACGGGCAAGAGCGGTTTTCGAACGTTTTGTTGATTGCCACCCGAAGGTCGCCGCCTGGATTAGGTTTGCAAAATTCGAGGTGAAAAATGGAGATGTTGCGCGGATTAGGAGGTGTTACGAGAGGGCCGTCGAGAATTTGGGGGTGGATGAGGAGGATGGTGAGTTGCTCTTGGCATTTGCGGAATTTGAGGAGAAAAAGTGCAAGGAGATTGAGAGGGCGAGATGCATTTACAAGTATGCTTTGGATCATATCCCTAGAGGGAAGACAGAGGAGTTACGTAAGAAGTTCATCTTGTTCGAGAAGCAATATGGTGGTAGAGAAGAGTTTGAGGATGCCATTGTTGGAAACACGAGGGTTCATTACGAGGATGAGATTCGGATGAACCCTCTTAAGTACGATCTGTGGTTTGATTACATTCGGTTGGAAGAATGTTATGGGGACAGACGAAAAATAGAGGATGTTTACGAGAGGGCTATTGCATGTATTCCTCCTTCTCAAGAAAAAAGGTACTGGCGGCGGTACATATACCTGTGGATTAATTATGTTTTGTATGAGGAGCTCGATGCTGGGGATGTGGATCGCACGAGAGATTTGTATGGCTTGTGCCTGAAAATGATTCCTCATGAAAAATTATCGTTCGCCAAGATTTGGCTGATGGCTGCACGGTTTGAGATAAGGCAATTGGAAATTGGTCGAGCGAGAAAAATTCTGGGTTTGGCAATTGGGATGGCTCCCAAAGATAAGATATTCAAGAAGTACATTGAGTTGGAGATGCAGCTTGGTAATGTGGAAAGGTGCAGGAAACTGTATGGGAAGTACTTGGAGTGGTCACCAGAAAGGTGCTCTGCATGGAGCAAGTTCGCTGAGATGGAGGGCTTCTTGGGGGAAACTGAACGGGCAAGAGCCATTTTCGAGCTTGCAATAAACCAGCCTTTGCTGGACATGCCAGAGCTTTTGTGGAAGGTATAGCTTGGTCACTGATGTCTTTTT